TGGCCCGGCTTTTGCACTGTACCCTTTGCCTGTGGGCAGAGTGGGGGAGTAGAAAGGTGTTTCTATTAAGTCACTTCCCAGTATCTAAATGGAAAGAGAAACACACAAAGGTATTTTCTGAGACAGGAAATTATCTTTCCAAATATATCTGGAAATGGCTGGGTAACAAATCAGGAGTTACAAGAAAACTAAAAAAAGGTTGGTTTTGTTTTTGTTTAAAACAATGATTTTTCTCCTCATTCTGATTGCATATTGTGGTGGTGTCACCTTAGAAGGCAATTTGATGGCCGAAGGATGGTTGAGAAGGTCTCTGATAATCCTACCTCATCTTATAGTATAAACAAAAACTAAATGCCATACAGTCAATGCTGCCTCATAGTAACTCTATAGGGCAGGGTAGAACTTCCCCTGTGAGTCTCTGACATTTTAAATTTTTATGGGAACAGAAAGTCCAGTCTTTCTCTGAACACAGCAGCTAGTGGTTTCAAACTGCTGACCTTTCGGGTCACAGCCCAGTGTATAACCTCTATGCCATCAGGGCTCCCTTGTATTATCCTGAAGTAATTATACAAATCACTGACTTAAGTGACCTAGAGAAAAGTGTGTTATTCTGGGTGGACTAGAGAAAAAAATCCAGGGAGACTCATGTGCATAGGGAAAAGTTTTATATGAAGAGTAATTGTATATTAAGAAAACATCCCAACCCAGTCCAAATCAAGTCCGTATGTCTGATATTAGCCCATGTGTCCAGTACTAGTCCATAAATTCCTCTTTAGACTCACGGAGCCATAAAATAATGCCGAATGTAGGAAGATCACAGGCCTGTGGGTGGAAAGTCTTGTGGATCCAGTGGTGGTAGAAGCACCTCAGCACTGGCAGGGGTCTCCACGTGGCTCCTTTAGCTCCCAGGGCTCTGGCTGCAGCAGCATAGCTCCATCAGGCTTACCATCAGTAATGTCTCACAGGGAGTATGTGAGTGTCTGCCTCCAGCCAGCTATTTATCTCCTTATTGCCTCCAAATGAGATCATCAAGCTGCGACCTCTACCCCTTCACTCTCAAACTGACCACAGATCATGTAACTACCACTAAAACCATAAAGATCTTTCTAGGTATGGTGTTCCAACAATTCCAAAAATCTATCTCATCCCATCTCTTCACTCTCCTTTCCATTAGAGCAGCTTCTTAGGCACATGTTCCTCTCAAAGTGCCTAACATCTCAGGAAATCTTTGAATAGAGTTCTTACTTCTAAATTACTCTAGAAAATATTTCTATTACTCCAGCCCAGGACACATGTCATGACTAAGCCAATTACTGGAGAGAAAGAGCTATGTGCTTTGATTAACCAGGTCTAGGTCATGAACCTCTCCGCTACTGCTGACCATCAAAGGGCACTCACTTGAACCACAACGTTGTGTGTCCCAGGTTCCTCCCTGGCTTCACCTTAATCCTACTCCTAGCTCTGAATTCTGAGCAAGCAAAAGACAGAATATTTGTTATACCCATAGTCAAAGGTATCTCCCAGGGTGCCTGAAATATCCACCATAGAGATGTATTTCTTTGAAGTAAGACATGATATCTCCAAAAACTGCTTTAATTTTATTTCAAAGATATATAAAAAGAAAGCCTTACATTTAATTTATACTTGTGTTTAAGGTAGATCATTAAGTCAGTCATATCCAGGGCTATAGAGGAAGGAGACATGGGGCCAACACATGTGAAAGTCTCACTCAGCCCATAAAAAGGTATGGGGCACTGAGAAGTGAGGCCCTGGGAAAGAGGCAAGAGAGGTCAAGACCTGAAATAGTAGAGAGAGTAGTTACTTAAAAGGAGAACAAGAACAAAAAAGAGATACAAGATGTGAAAGACAAAATTTCACCAAACAAAATGTTATCCCAGCATTTAGTGGACATTGGCTTTAGACCTACTTCATCATCTAGAATAAGTCTGTCATGCCAGGAGTCTGAGAAGCCAAGCTGGCAAGCGAGGTGGTATTAGGAAATACTCAGGAACAAAAGTAATGGTGGAAATTCCAAACCGGGCACTCTTTAGTGGGACATAACATCTGGGAGGACCTGCCTTGAGCTCTGATGATAAGGCTTTGAGGAGGGAGGATGAATCCCACCAAGCGGAAATCCTCGGGTACTCAAATTGTGGCATCTTCATAAGTTTCATTTCCCCTACAGCAAAACTTTAAAAAAGGACTATAAGAGTTATGAATTCTTAGTCCCTCCTAGGACCAAGGGGAAAAAAAAACTCTATCTTTAAACCACAAAATAAATAAATGAAGTAGTGCTTAAATTTATTAGTAATACAAAAAATTCTTTCCATCCCTTATATCCCACCAATTTAATCTTCCTCTTTTGGGACTCTTGCCTTTGGCAAAGAAAAGAGCTTACATAACTGGAATATATCTGCCACTCATAAAACTGAAGTTTTAAAATTTCTCATCCAAATTAAAAAATTTCTCATCCACTGAATAAGGACAAGTTTAGAAGGCAGTGATTTTGTTGTTATTTGATGGCTTTGATTTGTTAGTTGATGGCTACACTTGGGAATACGATTCCCCATTATGTCAATTCATAATTGTGCTAGTCTGGGTAGACTAGAGAAACAAATTCATGGAGACTCGTATGTGAATAGGAAGGAGGTTTATATACAAGAGCAATTGAACATTGAGAAAACATCCTAGCCCAGTCCAGTGCAAGTCCATAAGTCCAATATTAGCCCATATGTCCGATACCAGTCTATAAAGTCCTCTTCAGACTCACGAAACACATGCAATGACGCCTAATGCAGGACAATCACAGGCCAGTGGGTAGAAAGTCTTTGGATCCAGTAGCACTGTTTGTATTTCAGTGCTGGCAGGGATCTCCACATGGCTCCTCCCATTCCCAGGACATGGGGTCTATCAGCATAACGCCATGTGTCTTGTCAGTAGAGCATCTCTAAGGGAGTGAGTAGTGAGAGAGAAGTCTCCCGCCTCCAAGGAGGAAAATAACGAATTTCCCAGAATTCTCAGGAGAAGGCCATGCCCGTACAGAGGCCTTATTGGCTATGACCCAAATGACAGACTAGAACCCACCCCTTTACTCTTAATCCTCTCAAGTCCCCAAATGACACCAGATTATGTAACTAAGTACTGTTACTAACCAAGTAACTAACCAAGTACTGCCCACAAACCGGAGTGACCTGGCCCCCAGACCCTAGCTGTCTGCTTCTGGTGGCAGATACGTCACCATAGTATAGATGGACATCACTTCCTTTCTTAGCCAGATGCCAGAAAAGCTTGGAATCATATAATTAACTTAGGTATAGATTTTAGTCCTGTGTAGCATTCACCCTGCTCCCCACCCGCCCCCCTCCCACCACCACACACACAAAAGACTTCTATGGATATTTCTATAAAGAGAGAATGTGATGATCAGGATTTATGGGACCATCAGCAAGTACATTTTTCCTGATAACTGTTATTATACTACTGGCAACAAACAAATCAGCATTCTGGTTGATCATGTTCAGTGTGCTAAAAATCAGATTTCTGTTCTCACAATAACTTCTATGACTTAAAGTCATTTAATGACTTAAAGTCATTTATATGACCGTTGTGTTAGGCTGGGTTGACTAGAGAAACAAATCCAGTGACACTCATATATGTATAGGAAAGAGCTTTCTATCAAGAAGTAATTGTATATCAGAAAAACATCCCAGGCCAGTCCAACTCCAGTCCATACGCCCGATACTAGTCCATAAGTCCCTCTTCAACTTCATTTTGAAAAGTCATTCTGTCAATGCTGGTTACCTCCACGGTAACTGTAACAGCCACACGCAATGATGCAGAATATAGGAATATCATAGGTTGGTGGGGCAGATTCATGTGGATCCAATGGCAGAGGACGCATCTGAGTCCACCAGCAGGAAAGTGAAGGCCCAGAGAGAAGGGGAGGTTCCCAGGGCCCTCCTTCTGAGAAGGCCACACCCACCAGGAGGCACCCTCAGGCTGTGACCTGACTGACAGGCTGAATCCACCCCTACACTTTTATATATCTTCAAGGTGACGTGAAATTATGTAACTACCACAACTGTAGCTATACCATTGATGAAGGCAGTAAATATTGAATACCTAGGCTTGCTGTGAGTCAGAATTGACTCATTGGCAGTGGGCTTGGTTTTTGTTCTTGTTGTTTGTTATGTGTTTATTATTATAATAGAAGCCCAGGTGGTGCAGTAGGTTAAGCATTGTACTACTGACCCCAAAAGTAGGTGGTTTGAACCCATCAGCTGTTCTGAGATAGGCACCCATGGGCCTTATGACCAGGCGGCTGGTTGAGTAAAAGGCAGACTGGGAGGACCCTGGGTTCTCGACTGAGGAATTTGTGGGGGATGGTTATCAGGATCATGTAAATCCTGAATAAACAAGGCTGTGGATTTTGAGCTCCTCCTGGAAAGACATGCCCATAGAAGACACATAAACACCTCCAATTGTCACCCAGGTGTCCGTTAACTAGTTGTCATCCAGTAAACTCCAAGTCACGGCAACCTTATGTGTGTCAGAATGGATCACTGCACCATGGAGTTTTCAATGATTGATTTTTTAAAATAGATCGCCACAGCTTTCTTCTCAAGCATTTCTGGGGACTCCAGTAATCTCCCACCTTTTGCTTAACAGCTGAGTGTATCACCAGTTAACACACTCGGGGCTCCAATGGTAAGGCATCCTGTTCATCACCCTTCTCTCATTTGGTTTACACCTTTTGGATGATTTAATAAACTTCAGTTAAGACTCTACCATTGCCTGATACCCTGCTAGAGGCCCCTGAGGTCGGCTTCCAGAGCACCCAGGATCTGGGCTGCAGCAGAGACAACATAACCGAATACCTTCTCTTCCTCCTAGCCCTGCCTCCCTCTCCACAAGAGAGCGCAAAAGAACTTGTTTTGCCTTTTACCCTGGCGGTGGGGGTGGGGGTGGGAGGGGAAGCAGCAGACAATGAGAAGAAAATAATGAGTATTAAAGGAAAAGTCATTCTGTCAATGCTGGTGACCTCCACTGTAACTGTTGTCTTCTGGGAACGCGACAGCCATGAAGACTCTTTCTTAGGGTGCTGTCACTCAAAGAACCCTGAAGTTGGTGGCAGCAGCGCTCATCAGGGCTGGTGGTTTCCAAGCCCTGTCAAGTTCTAAACATAACCTGGAAGTGCTTGAAGGGAGTTCACCAGGACAAAAAAAATGGCATTGGAGCAGAGAGGCATGATGAAAGCCACCTCAATAAGTATTTCCTCCTCAATAAACCCATTAAAATCTTACCACCAAAATACTGCTGGGATTATCATACGGGCTTACCTTCCAATATTAAAACTGTCTACATAGCTTGGCGGACAAAAGAGTATCATTTGATTCGGAATCATGTTTGACTTCTTATTAAGCCAGGACGTTCTAAATTTGAGAGAGTATTATCCTAGTTACTTCTTCAGAAACATAACACTTAATGTTAACTTTTAAAAATTATTATTAACTTAAAAAATACTGACCCCTCAAAAAGTACTAACAAGTGCCAACACACCAAAGGCATACTATTTCTCCTTAAATCCCTGGCCCTTGTAATGGAGAGATTGAATCTGTGCGGCCGCAAGCCGAACCCAGCACCACTGAGAAGGCCTGACTCAGGGATTCTTGAATCGATGGCAACGTGATGTCCATTCTCAATGATTTCTTACCTATATTGGGTTTAGGGAAAATATTATCAGCCAAAGGAGCCCCGGAAGGGTAACGATCATGCATAAGCCTTTGATCCTCATGGTTAGCAGTTCAAAAGCACCAGCAGCTCCTTGGGAGAAAGACCAGGCTTTCTACTCCTGTCAACAGTCTCAGAAACCCACAGGGGTCACTAGGAGTCAGCAAGCTCACAATGAGTTTGGTGTTTAGTTATCATTAGCTGAGCCAAAAAGAATTTGCCGGAAGTTGGGGAAACAGCCAGAAACACTATGCATGTGCCAGAAAACATGTGGGGAAAAGAGTAGTAAAGAATGTGGTTGCTTGTAAGGATTGTGATAAGAGTTGTACGAGCCTCCAATAAAATGATTTTTTTTAAAAGAATATATGGTTGCCAAGAAGATCCTTTGTGTGAAAAGTAAGGGTGTCCCCTTTATGTCAATGTCTTCCTTTTCTCGATGAATCTAAAGCAATATAGAATTGCTTTGCAGTAAGAGTGCTCTTAGGAAAGAATAAGGACGATCTGAATCGACAATCCTCAAGGGATTTCAATAGCAGATTGTGTTCGGCCTTTTGGTCTTCTGCCGTTCTCTCATCAGGATCTTGTTTGGCTTTGGTGTAAAAGACTGGGTACAGATTCCCAGTGGAGGTTAAGATGAACGAACAATCACATAGAGTCTGAACGAACCACAGCGAAGGGCTCAGCAGGAAGTATTAACAAACCTCTCAAAGTGAATGAGTTTCCATGAAACAGCAAAAAATGAGTAGAAAGCGGGGAGACTGACCACCGTGGCAGCTGTACTGCAGAGGGGCGTGGTGAAAAGCAGTTAGCGCTGAAACACCTTGTGGGGTCAGGCACTGAATGGGAGTGCCAGTGTTCTCCAGCCGCTCTCCCCAAAGACTGTCTGAGTAGCAGGGCCTTAAATGGAAGTTGCTTTTTGTTTTGCCCAAGTCACACTTGTGCTCCCCACTCTGCAATTTATGTCTTCAAATCCTGGGCGAGTAGACAAGGTCAGAAAAGGCAAAGCCCTACAAAATGGAAGAGGCCTACCAGTTTGGGTTCCCAGACCCAGTCACCATCAGAGGACAATGGGTCATCAGCAAGGCCTGCCAACTTCTCTAACCCTGAAGGTCCCAAAGCTAACCCTCTATCATACCCCACCTTGGGGGCTGACATCAAAGAACGGGCTAGAGAAAAAACACTTCCGTCAAATAACCAGTCTTTTTCTCCTGCCCATTTGCAGTAGCAACTATGAGTTGAAAGACATAGTTAATTGACTTTAGAACAGAAGCACAAGCGAATATCGGTGGAAGATCCTATCTATTCATGACTGAGTAGCATAATATTCCATTTCTTTCTCTAGGAGAAGCTATAAAATCCCAGGTATTATTTAACAGCAAGCAATTTATGGTTAAAAAAAACATAAGGGGTAATATTTACATATATATATATATAGTAATTTTGCTTCTGTTCTAGTTCGTATTTTTTTTCCAAGCAATTTATTTAAAGAATCATTGCATTGGCTGCTTTATACACACCTACTCCTCACTAATCAACATAGCTAGGTCCCAAAGCCTGGGTCATTAGATGAAAATCGGCCTGATGTGAAAATACAGGTGACGTACCAGATCGCCAAATGGAGGCAAACTCAGACTCAATTAGTGTCCTTGAGTTCATCCCAGCTCTCAGCAAGCCTGGAGCAGGGGAAGGTAGCATTTAAGGACGGCACCCAAGAAATACTGATCTTGAAAACACTTAGAGAAAAGGGCTGCTGTTTACTTTTGAGCGATTGCCTTGATTTTTTTCTTTCTTTCTTATTATTGAGTCCCAAATAGACAAATTCAAGAGCTTGAACGGTTACTCACGTTTTTAAAAAAATATATAAATTTCGCTATTTGCATTTGAATGAATAAATTATTTTCTTTTTAAAAAAAGACCCTAAGCAAGCTCTTCTAAGCTTTGAGCCCCTTGCGTCCCAGGGCTGGGGCGGGGTGGGTGGGAAAGGTCCCCTGGGACCCAGAGTGAAGTTGGAACGGGCAGAAAGGCACAGGGTCCAGAGGAGGTGTTTTCTCTCAGACCCGAGAAGAAGGGAGTCCTCCCAACTCGGGGCCTCCACCAGCCTCTGGAGGACAGAACCCGCGGAGTTTGGGAAGAAGGATGCCTTAAAC